CTAATTCTAAAAGTTTATAAAAATTATTTAAAAAAATTTTTATTAAATTTGGTTACGTTTTTGTTAAATTATTCTTGCTTAAAGTTATAAAAAATTTTTATTATAAAAAATTTGCTTGATTTCTATTGACTTACCCTCATATATACGTATGTACTGTGTAGTATTGATTAATCTGCGATTGTTTGATGTCCGACTTAATCACAAGTATTTGACTGTCAAATTTTTGTTTGATTGTGCTGGGCACTAACAGTGATATACATGAACTACTATCATATATTACACCAAAAATTGGTTGCTAAGAATTTATTATTAATGCACACTTAATCTTGTCTGAATCTCCTATTTTCCAACACTAGATTTTTAGTGCATAGATAACGGGTTAACTGTAACTGGGTTAACCGGATAACACGGAGTACTTTTAACAACCCGATGGATAAGATTTTATATGCGGGTGGGTAACCCAGGGTTTAAATTTATGCTGGGGTCGAATTTCTACACTTGATCATACTGCGTTCAATTATTATTGATTTATTGTTAAAATAAATATCATTGTCCATATTTTAAATTGTCTATATCTATTAAATTCTATTCGAATCTAGGATTTAAATATAGTAGTAGTCTTTAACATTCGTTTGTTTTTTTTAATACTTTGAAAGTATGATAAGAATTTTACCCATAGTGATTGCAATGATTATGAAACAATTTCAGCCTAATTAACGTTAATCTTGATAAATTTTAGATATTTAAAAATGTTTTAACTGAGGGCGATGAACTCGGCAAAAAATTTGATTGGTCCATCTGATCAAACTGGCCAATCAGATTCTTTATCAAATTCATTGAGAGAGAGATGTTTGAGAATGCCCGAGTTAAATTTATGAAATTAATTAGTTTCAAATCTACAATGGCTATAGTAAGATTTATTAATTTTGGAAACGATTCAGCCAGCGAATCATAATTTCATAAACATAAAAAGTTACAGCGTTTACTGGTAAAGCTCTCACAAGTGTAGGTGTAATTCCTTTAAAAAATACCGAAATTCCTTCCTTGCGATATGAACGTACAGCACAATCAATAATACCAGAATAAGATGCTGAAGATTGTTGAATTTTTGTTAAAGGTTGATTATAATTAACAAATGATGTCATTGTTTTGTTCATTATAGTAGATTTAGATATAGGTTGTTGTTGCGTTTGTATGCGTGATTTAATGACATCTGAATGATATGCTTTACATGTTAATTAATGTCAAGTGATCTATGTACTATATATTAAATGATGAAACTAACCTAAAGGATAAATGCTAGCCCAAGAAAGGACACCAGCTATTCCACCTGAGAAAAGTAACTTTGGACCATTGCTGCGATCAAAACTATCTGATGTCACATTCAATGAACGTTTAAGCACTTCATAAGCCCTAAAATTAATAAATAAAAGATTAATATCATCTTAATAAATTTCATTGTTTAAAATTATGTGACTTACCAAAAATAAACACCATAGCCTGGAGCATCACGAATTATTGTTATAAGACCACCTTGATAGAGTCCTAAGTTTTACCCAATACTTTTATTATTAATATTTTATACATTTAAGGTAAATGAGCTGGTTACCTAGTTTACCTTTGACTCCTCTTGTTTGAATTACATCTTTAAACACATTCCATGTAGTTGATGATATCATCAAACCTTTTTGCTTAGCTGCTTGAGCTTTACATTTAACTAACTCTGTTGGTGTGCTGACTAGAAAACATGCAACACCAGAACCAAAACCAGCTACATACACCTGAGTCAAGGATGGTATTCTTTGTGATGAATTATCAATTTTTTCAAAAAATCGCAAAATACTTCCATAAGAGGTAAAAAGTATTGAATTTAAAAATGCAAGACCTATAATTGGAGAACCCACACCTTTAAAAAATGTTTTAAACTTTAATACATTCAATGAAGATAGTTAAACAAATAATATTCTTAAATTCACGCAAATCTTTATCACTAGGTTGAAGTCAGCATACATACCCCTTCCGTTTGCTTCATTTTCATCAAAATTTTCAATGATGAAGACTTATAGAATGCATGAGATGGTGAATCGGATTGCACTGTTTGTAAGCGAACCTATAATATGTGTCTTTATTTTCAATATGTTTTACTACAAATGTAATGTTAATCTAATATATTCCACGACCCTATATGTTCGCCCTCTGATGATATTTTTATGATGACATAATGCTGTGAAAATATCAAATTATTCCACAGTTATGACGTCATCATTAAAAATTTTAATGTTACGGGCATAGGACCGTGAAACCATAGGAAGACTTTCGTATGATTGGCTGTTTAAATCAATTTAATTTTACATTATTTACTACGAAGAATAAACAAAAAAGAAGTATATAGAAAGTTTATTAGGGTTGTAGGACTCCACTATTAAAAATAATCAAAATGATTTCTGGTTTTAGAGAAGTTAGCATGATAATAATCTAATTCTATCTATCTTCAAGAAGTCGTCATTATGCTAACTTCTCTAAAACCAGAAATCATTTTGATTATTTTAAATGGTTGAGTCCTACAACCCTAATAAAACTTTTTATATACTTCTTTTTTGTTTATTCTTCGTAGTTTTATTTTTTTTAAAAAGTAACTTTAAAATGTATAATAATGTAAAATTAAATTGATTTAAACAGCCAATCATACGAAAGTCTTCCTATGGACCGTGAAATATATTATGAACTCAACGTTTTACCACGGCTTTGCCGTGCTAATTCATTATATTCACTACAGCTCATGAAATATCTATTACGTATCCAATGTATCTAAAGTACTAACATACCTTTAGAACATCTAAAGGGCTTCCAACTATTAATCCCATTACACCACTAATATATCCTATAAAATCCATTACATTTTGTTTTAAATATATATATATATATATATAGTATATATATTTTTAAAATATACCTGCCAAAAAATCATTGAAACTTTCGGCTATATAATTTAAAGATGCAATAATTAGAGAACTTCTAAAATCAAAAATTAGATCAAAGATGACTTACCCATAATAGAAATCCGCAGAGCAGACTCTGGTGCAGCAATCGATTTCGTTTATATTATATATATTGGCCAATCAAATCACATAAAAAACAATCGAATAATTTCAAAGTTGGTTAGAGTTATGACAAGCAATTTTTTGTTAGAGCGCATAAGATAGCTCCATAGACAAAAAACTTGATATGATTGGTTAGCGAAAATCTGTTGCACGGCATCTTCACTTTTTTTACGGTTTTCTTTTGGATGTCTTGCACAACTACATTTTTGATTTAACCAATTGAATTATTTTAAAAAAATATAAATATAATTTTTTAAACCATGTTTGGCGTGTCACAGTGATATGTCGAACTGTGGAATGCCAATTTCTAGAGATTGGAACCACCTAGAATTTTTTCTAATCGTTTAATCGTTTAACCGTGTTAACCGTTTAATTTTGTCTATTACTATTAAGATAGTTATTCTAACTACGTTTATTAATAAAATTTAAAGCTCAATATACACAGAATTTTCTTAAGTGTTAAGCATATCCAGATTCGGTTTAGCTCCATTAGGACTTATTGAATACAGGTTTTTTTTTTTTGGAAATAATTATTCAACTTTTTAGAAATAATATTTGAATAAAGATGACTGAAATCAAAATAATCAATGTCGTTATTATCGATAGAATCTTTATAATATTGTAGGAAAGCCGATGCTTGAAATCTGTCAAAAGTATTCTAATATATTAAATACCTAAAGTTTAAATTATACATTATTTAACGAGATAGATTCCTAATTCTTTCCTCATCTCAGTAACATCCTTATTCCAACATTCCTCAAAATAAATATTCATAAGCAATTTGCTTTGTGATCCACATTGAATAGCCCATGGAACATACTTTTCAAATAATCTAGTTCTTTCTTCACTTGATAATCTAAGGGGCCCAAACACTGAACTTAATAAAGTCATTGGTAATTTTGTTTGCGCAAATTCGAACCATTTGAGTGCAAGTTCTCCTTCAACGCTTACAGGTAATTTGGTTAAAGTATGATAAAAATCATGGCATTCTCGATAACGTTGCATAACATAAGCGAGCTCTTCGTCTTCGATATATTTTACCTATTACAGGATGACAAATTTTGAATTAACTATAATCTAATTATTAATTCAGAATTTATTCGAAATCTAATAAGATTACTGTGTAATAATACCTTCACTCTAGTATCGGGTGTAACCATTTCTCCGTCTAAAAAATTTACATACTCTTTACCAAAGGTTCCTTCAGGCAATGTTCTCAAATATGGAATATCAATAGTTTTAGAATTTACAATTGGACGTTCTCGTAATATTTGACGACCTTTTGTATCACGTAACATTTCATCTCGAAGTTTACTCAGAAATATTGAAGAGGTCGTTTCTGCTAATGTTGCAACCATATCTAAAAAAAAAAAATAAACATCAAAAATTTAATTTAAATAATTTTAATGTAAAATCCTTTTATTCTTTAACTTACCCCCTCTACTTGGATCAAAAAATGCCGTGAAAGCAGATGACACAGCAAGTAAACTTTTTTGGAAATTTGAAATTGGTACATTCGTTGTATAATGCTGCTCTCTTGAAAATAATGATTTCGCTAACAGATATAATTTATTGATTTAAATATATATTTAAAAATTTCAATCATATGTTTAGCTTTTTAAATATTAATATATATTTACCGAATAGGTTATTGACCGAGTAATGGCTGATCAAAAAATTAGATTGCACAATTCTTCGAGTTAACGTTGATGAAAGCATTGAATAAAGTTAATGTAACATGTAACCCATGAATTTGCTGAATTTACTGTTACCGTCACGGACTCAAATAACGGTAAGCATTAGCTCTTAAAGGAAATCGGATAATCTTCAGACAGATACCTAGTCTAAAATGAGAAACAAGGTAACTATGCCTACGTGTAACAAATATTATAGATAATGTGCTGCGTAGCAGCACATTAATGACATTAACTCTAAAAAAAATTTCTCGTATGGCCAATATCGATATTATTTGATGCCATTTCGTGGCAAAATTACCAAGGTGAAAAAAAAATTATCTAATTAATGCTAGATACTGTATTCTAAATAAAAATGTTCACTCAAAACTTTATGCTAATTAAATTTTATATTTAATTCTATACACTCCAAGTTTTTATAATACGTAATATACTATATACAGTGTTGGAAATCAATGCCAACACTGATTATACGTATTATTTGAATTAAGTTTATTAAATTTAACTTAAGGCCATACAAATTTAATTACTTGGTTTTCATAACATGAAATTTTATAAAAAAATTTTTTAAAACCCACCCGGTTATTAAAACATATAAAAATTTTTTTCTTAGAAGTTTTCAAATTTTGACCCGACATGGCCTAATATATAGTATTTGTTAAACATTAATTTGAGCTATTTCCAATATTAAAAATTTTAAGTCTATATGTGGCGCAGGCAACATTGGAATATTAATAATAATGATACTGTAATTCTATAATCACATGGTTAATTAAAAAAAATTTTTTTAAAAAAAAGCTTTTAAAGAAGTTGTGTTTGTGTTTATTGCAATCTTGAACGTGTGCCAGGTTGGTGGCGCATTAAGTCACAGCGATCTCTTTTTATTCAGTACGCTCATAAAAGTTTCTTTTTTTTTGGATGAAACTTTCCACCATGTGCTTCATTAACAGTCCTGTACTTTGTAGGTTTTCTATTTTCTTTTGGATAATGAAAATAAGTAATAGTCAATTCTCTCTATACCGAACTAATATAAGTTTAAATTTTAATTCGTTATATTAAGAGTTCATTATAAAAAAACTTGGCACATAAGTAAAGAGTGTATATGGAAGCTCCACAGCAAAAGGGGCATTGGGACAAATTTTTGATTTTGTAATTTTAGAAAAATTGTATCCCTATTAATCTAATTACTCAAGAAATCAATTAAAATAAAAAAAGTTTTTTGCCTCAGTGCCCCCTTTTGCTGTGGAGAGTCAGATATTATTACAGTAATTTCGAATGAATGGTTAACAAAGATTATAAAATCGTGCTTTTCAAATTACTGTGATCAGCAGATGATCACCAATCACGTAAAAATCTGGAAATTGCCACTTATAAAGGCATAATTCCAAAGATTCCTTGTCGAATTCTAATTCATTAATATATCATCCATTTAAATATAATATCTTGTAATTGTCCAATCAATGAGCACTAATATTTTTAACTTTTTTTACCTAAACTTTCTTCTTGATAATGCCTGCTCATTATCGATATTCGAAGCTATTTTCAAATTCTACTGGCTAGTAGAATTTTAAAATGGTCCTAAGCATTGAAATCGATCGAGCCATTATTGAGAAATCTTCAATCAAGTTTTTTAAGAAAACGTTCAATACTAGAATTTTATACATAATATACACAGTACAATTACGTAGTGTCACAGGCAAAGAAGGATTGTCAAATTGGCGCAGTAATCTCGTGACTAAACCGGATATAATATTGGAATTCGGGATCAACGATTATATGAGGCTTGCCTGCCAAAGAATAGAAAGGATAACCTACGTGAAATCCGAAGAAGAATTCTAAAAAGAAGAAACTAAGATCAAGAAAGAAGATCTGGAAAATAGGCTAAAGAAAGAATTCGTTGGGAGAAAATTATTATTATAATTATAATAAGCCCCTTGATATATAATAGCTTTGCCCTGATTCTTTCATGATGTATTATATAAATCTTCCCTAAGCCCCTTGAATTGTTAGGATAAAATAATCTATAAAAGAGTTGGGAATTCACGTTAGTTAAAGGATATCCTTTGGGATTCCAATAATTTATTCATAATACCTTTAATAAATTACCCGAATAATTCCTTTTAATAAAATACATTATTGTCAAATCACCAATGTCACGCCTCTGGTGAGTTGCCTTATTACATAAATTATATTGATTTGTATATACATTAATAAAACCTTACAATTCACCCCGTAATATTTGGTGGTAACTGTGAGATTCTTGAACTTCTAAAACCATCTAACCTATAAACTCTAAACTTTACAATAAATAACAACCAATTTAAGCAGTTCATAAAAGTAATGACAAAAGTAGTTAGTAAAGAAGAAACAAAAACTCCCAAAGAAAATAATCTTGTCAAGATTAAGTCTTTCTATAGTACTGATGATAAAGATCCTTTTGAGTGGTTCGAGGAATTTGAACAAGCAACTATAGCCAATAATTAGACCAAAAACTGTAGACTGCAGATCATGTTGGGGTATTTAAAAGAAACAGCTGCTGAATGGTATAAAGAAATTCAAGAAGGTATTAGCTATTGGAAAACAAAAGATAAAAATAAAGAAAATAAAAGTTTTTACTATTTGTTGGTAGAAAAATTTGCTTCTGAAGAATGTCAACATCATTGGCAAATCAAATTATAACAACTATGGTAAAAAGAGACAGAAAAAGTAGATCATTATGCTACTAAGTTCAAAAAATACTCAGTAGAGTTAATATTAGGAATAGTTTTTCTGATGGATATATTGTTAGAATGTTCCTAAATAGGTTGAAGGGCAACAATGCTATATTCATAGCCGTTATGGCTCCTAAAAATTTAGCCAAAGCCATAGCTGTAGCAAAAAGAGTAGAAGCAGAAGGATATTATGGTCATCCAATTTCTGAATATAATAATATCAAATATCAAGTAAGAAGTGAGTTGAGTGACCTCAAGAAAAGAATTGAAAGTTTAGCATTAAATTATGCAACCTTAGATGCTTAATTAAAGGATACAAGGATTTATCAATCAAGAGACAATCCCTATAGAGGATGCCTTCAAAACAGATATAGATGAGAAAGGAATAAAGGACTTAAATGTGGTAAATGTGGAGAAGTAGATCATATAGCTAGGAGATATATGTCCAAAAAAGTGAATTATATATATAAAAGAAAGGAGAAAGACAATATTAAGCAAATAAAAAATATTAGTTTTTGTGAATTAGAAACTGAAAATAGTGAGGAAGTATATATAGTTAAAAATGAACCTACCCCAAAAAAAATAGTAAAACATCTAGCGAACTCTAAGTGGAAAGAAAGATTGTACAAGATAATTAGACTACTCCAAGCACAGTTTGAAAAAGAACAAAACATGGGAGAGGAAGAACTGCCTATTCTAAAAAAAACACTTTCTCTAGTAAAAACAAAGAAAAAAAGAGAACTCTCGAAAGTTAATTTGTTACTGCCCTATAATGTAGCAGATAATATATTAGCCTTACCCACTAGTGCTACAGTAGGTCAGATACTTCAATATCCAAACCAAAAAAGAAACTTGGCTAAGATATTAAAACATCCGGCCATTTCGAAGAAAACTAACTTCATTAATCCTAAGGAAATACATTACACAACTGCAACTCAGTGCTATGTCTGCATCTTAGTAATCTAGTATTGGCCATGTTAAACTCAGGTGCAGTAGTCAGCATAATAGTAAAAGGCCTATTGAAAAAACTAGAGTTACAAATAAATGATAAATCCACAACTGTAGTAGTAATAGCTACAGAAGCAAAAGCCAAAACACTAAAAAAAATTAAAGATGTTGGAATTATAATTTAAGATGTAGTAGTTCCTACTACCTTATATATAATAGAGTCCTTAGATAATACCCTATTACTAGGAACGGATTGGTTCCAAAAGACCAAAGCACAAATTCATTTTGATGAAAAGAAATAGTACTTACAATATAATTATAAAACAGCAGAGGTACAAATTTCTAATAGTGGTATTGAGGGTATTTCACCAAAAGAAGATAATGAGGCCTATAGTGATAGCGGAGATACTTTCGATGAATTTAATTATGAAGAAGAATTTGATGAATTAGAAGAAAAAAAGCACAAAAGTTGACTCTTAAATTGTTAGGAAGATCTGACACTATGTCTTACCAATATTGAAGAAGTACCCACCAAAAAGGACAATAAAGAGGAGAAAGAAAAGTCCCTAGAAAAAGAACTTCAAGAAAAAATTAATAACAATAAATTAACTGCAGAACAACAATTAAAGGCTCAAACATTTCTATTTACGAAAAGAGAAATGTTTGCGCAGGGTCTTGAAGAATTAGGCCGTACTAGTGCCATTACTCATAGCATTGTTACAGGTAACGCCACCTCAATTAAGCAAAGATATTATAGAGCTGCATATGAAGAAAATGAATTTATTAAAAAAGAAATCAACAAATTAAAGAAACAAGGACTCATTGTAGAAGTCAATAGCCTCTGGGCCTCTCTGGTGGTTATAGTATCTAAAAAGAATAGAAAACTATGATTTTGTGTAAATTACTGAAAACTCAATTCGGTAACTAAAAAGGATACATATCTGCTTTCTCATATTAATGATCTATTAGATACTTTTGGGATGGCCAAATAGTTTTCTGCTCTTGACCTAATAAGTGAATATTGGCAAGTTAAGATAAAAGAAGCAGACCTAGAAAAAACAACTTTTATTACAAAATATGGCACTTACACTTTTAAGGTTATGCCTTTTGGTTTTTGCAATGCTCTAGGAACATTTCAAAAACTTATGGATAAAATACTCAGAGAATGTAATGAGACTTTTGCCATCATATATCTGGATGATATTAACATATACTCCAGTTTATTCAAAGATCATTTAGAACATCTAAAAATTGTTTTTCATAAATTAAAGGAAGCAGAATTAAAATTAAATCTAGAGAAGTGTACTTTTTTAAAATCTGAAATTAATTATCTAGGTTATATAATTAATAAGGAGAAGTAAGACCTGATGAATTAAAAACTAAAAAAGTAAAGAAATTTTTCATCTCTACTAATCTTTGCCAACTCTAAGAATTTATTGGATTAGCGTCATATTATCATCGCTTTATTAGGAGATTCACTACAATAGCCTGGCCTCTATATAAATTATTGAAAAAAGATGTTCTCTACAAATAGAAAGAAGATTAGAAGATTGCCTTTAAAACATTAAAAAGGCATTTGATAATGGCACCTATTTTAAGATACCCGGATTTCAAAGAAATATTTTACCTATATACTGATATCTCTAGTGTAGGATTAGGCCCAAAAAGATAAGAACCACAAGAAATATGTAGTAGCCTATACTAGTCAAGGGTTATCTAAGACTAAATAAAACTATTCTGCCCTAAAATTAGAATATTTAGCAGTCATATAGGCTGTTGAACATTTCCATTATTATTTAGAAGCAAAACACTTTACCTTGATTATAAACCATGCCACCCTCAAATAGCTATATACTAGTAAGCTAAAAGGAAAAAAAGCTTATTGGATTTTAAGACTCCAACTATATGATTAACCCATCATACATCAAGTAGGGATAAAATATTCGAATATAGATGCTTTATCTGAATATATCTACGAAATGAACAAGAATCTAGAATGATTTAAAAATTAAATAGAAGAGAAAATTAATATAATTATAGACTATTACATTATTATTAAAAAAAAAAAAAAAAAAAATTTTACTTTGAACTAAGAAAATTAAAAATTACACCAAATAATTAGTTGAGATATGCTGCCTGTAAGTCACATATTATGTGAAAAGAGAAGTGCTCTGCCTGTAAGATGCTTAAATAAGCCTGGTACTGGCTGGGTTTGCTACTGAAATAAGTACTATGCAAAAATTAAGAGGTTTGTCCAACCTGTAAGACATTTAAATAAGCCTGGTACTGGCTAGGTTTGCTATCAAAATAAATACTATGCAAGAAAAATAAATCTAATTAGTATAATTAAAGAAACTAATAAATTCAAAGTTTAATTTAATTAAATAAAGATAAATTAATAAGAAATTTAAAGAAAAGATACTTAGCAATATTAGTAAAAGGAATTAAATTTGTTAATGAGAACCAGAAAGTTTTAAAACTATAAGCTAAAAATTATTACTAACTTTAAAATCAAATTTTGACATTAAATACAATTCAGTCTAGATAGTCAGTATCTTAGCAAAAATGGAACCACTCCGATATCAGTTATTAAAAACATACCTTTTAGAATATATCTTACCAAGAAGGTTATCATCCCAAAAAAGACAAAGTATACAAAGCCAAAGTAAATTCTTTGTAGTATGAAATGATATAATCTACAAAAAAGACAAGTATAAAATTAAGCATCTATTAAGAGTAATTCAAAAATATGAAGTAAAACTAATTTTATTTTTAATCCACATTTACCCATTGGGAGGATATTTTGGAACTGATATAATGTTCCATAAAGTCTATAACAAATATTACTGGCCCCAAATATATACAGATATTCAAAAGTTTATTCATACCTGTGATGCTTGCCAAAGGAGAGATAAAAATTTAGTAAAACCTCTACTATATCTGATACCAGTAGAAGCCCTATTTTTTAAAATAGGAATTGATATTGTGAGACCCTTATCTAGAACTTCAAAGGGTAATCACTATATTGTAGTAGCTACGAATTATATAACTAAGTGGCCTGAAGCTAGAGCCATCAAACTTGCAAATGCTTAAGAAGTGGCTAACTTTATATATGAAGATATAGTTTGTTGTCACAAGTGTCTACAATATCTACTATCCGATAGGGGAACACATTTTCATAATAATTTTATATATGAATTTCTTAAAAAATTCATCATTAATCACCATTACTCCACATCTTATCATCCACAGACAAATGGATTAGTGGAGTAATTTAACAAAACACTGTATAAATCTATATCCAAGCTGGTGACCAACATAAGAGAATGAGACTCTTTAATACCTTTGGTACTCTTTGCTTATCAGATAGTAAAACAAAGTACAACCAAGATAACCCTATTCTTTCTGGTATATAGAAGAGAAACAAGATTTTTACTTTATTTTAATAAAAACGAAGAATTGTTAGAAGGCACATTTATATAAAGACTTTTTAAGTTACTAGAAGTATTATTTCAACTTAGATTTGATGCTATTAAACAAGTAGAAAAGGCTCAAGAAAAAGCTAAAAAGAAGTACAATAGTGGGTTGCCTTCTATAGAAGAGATTAAAAAAGAAGAACTTGTATTAGTATACAAAGCATCTCAATAGTACTCTAAAAGTCACAAACTCTATCCAAAGTGGAAAGGTTCTTTCATTGTGCATAAAATCCTAGCTAAAGAAGTTTACAAACTACATACTATTGATAGGAATATAATAAAGTTTCTGATAAATGAAAACTAGCAAAAGGGTTAAGGCGAAAAAAAGAATAATAATTAAATGTAATTTACTTTATATATTGAACAATATGTTATAATAACATAATGATCATCATATTATTTTGATTAATAATAAACTATTGTAGTAAAAATTGTTATAAAAGCGATAGACTAAAATACAATAAGTAATTGTCAAAAAAGGATACAAAAATATCAACAATTAGATTAAAAAGAATTTCTATAAAGTCACCAAATAGGAAATCGAATAGATTCTTTTTTAATAGATTTGATAATATCTAAGGAATTACTGAAAGGAAATTTGGATCAATTTTAGCAACCTAATTAGATAGGATAAGGAAAAAATTAATAGTTATCAGAAGTTTATAGTTATACAAAATGTAGGCTCTACAATAGTTAGCTTAAATATATAGGCTAATTTCAAACACAAAAAAGAATGAACAACTAAGGATACTTCAATATGTTGATAGTGGAAATCTTTATAAGTCTTAAGAAATATTTTTCAAAATCTTTCTTGGAAACTAAATTAAAGTTGCTTAAAGATAATTCATCCAATTAAGTTAAATTCACAGAGTGAAAAATATCTATGCAGATTTTTTACAGTAGTAATATTTTGTATAGATGAAGGCATTCATAAAATCTATAGTCTTATATCTCAAATCTAGAAATATCTAAAAATATAATTCAAAAAGGGTATTTATGGAGTCTTGCCTTATATTGCTCTAGAAGTTCTATTAAGACAAAAGTAATAGCAGACGCCAATAATTATAGCTTCAGAGTTATTATATCAGAAATGTTAACTGGACAAAGATTATTCGATGGTTATCAAATTGTTGATAAACTAATAGTAAAGATTTGCTTCAGGTTACTGCCTAAATTTGCATCTAGAATTCTGAATAGCTATATTGAATTAGCTAAACAATGTATGAATTCAGATCTACAAAAACAGTTTACGATTAAAGAAGTGTGAAAAAAAATTTGGTGATTGAAATAAAAGCATGACTAAGTTATAATAATAAGAAAATTTTGTCATAGGTCATGTGAACTGAATAAGTACTGTTGCATATAAATAAATTATCATGCCAGGATAGAAAATCGTGAAGACTTCCGGCTTGAAAACAACAATTCCAAATTTAAAGGACTTATAAGAAAGAATAGATTAAAAATTTCTAAGAAGAATTCAGATAAAGATATCCAAAGTGATAATTTAATCACTGCTAGATTAATAAGATAAAATCTAAATAAGTATCGAATTAAAAAGATAAATTAAAATTTTATTATTGCAAAAATATATAGAATCAAAATAACATATAAACTATAAAAGAATACTTTACTAAATATATATTTTTTAAGATTTTCTAAGTAAACTCTTAATCAATTCAATTTTAAGATATAATTCTGGAAGAATTATATAAAAAGAGAGAGTAGTATATAAAGATTATTTTGTGATATGATTTTTGCAATATTGTTAAGTTACTAATGAAATTTTAAAAATTTGACTTGAGAGTCAATTAGAAGTTTAAGTTTTAGATACAATTAACGAACAAGATATAGAAGTTAGAAAAGAAGTACTTCAAGAGGAAAATCAGATGAATATATATATGTACTAGCAAAACAAAGAAAAAAAAAAAAATTATTAAGCTTTTTAATTAATACTATGATTAATCTAATCTAACAATATTCCAGAACTACTATCAATATTTTCATCATCTTCATCTGATTCTTCTCCACTACTTTCAGATTCCCCCTTCAACAAAGCTTCATAAATCTTTCAAGATTCTTCTTCTTCTTCTTCTTCCCATATCTCTATAGTTTCTTTAAAATCTTCTTTCTCTTCAGTTTGTTTTTCTTCTTCTTCTTCTTCTTCAAATTTCTCTAAGTCATATTTGATTCATATTCTCTGTCAATCTTTATTAGTTTCTGCTCTAATATCTATTATACCCAATAACTCCTGCATATCTCTTCTTAACACATTATACTCTAATTCAAATGACTCTTTCTCTGCACTCAACTCCTTATATCTTCTATTTATCACTTTCAATGTACCTTCTGTCAAAATTTCATTTAAATTTTTATCTGCTCTCTCTTTCTCTAACTTCTTTCATAAAATTTTATTTTTCCCTTCTAATTTTCTAATATACTCTTCTACCCTATATTACAAATTTAATTTTAATTTAACAATCTAATATATCTATTAGTTAAAAATTTACTATTACCAGTTTTCTGATCTATCATTAACCTCCTCGACAACTTCTCTTTGTTTTCCCTTATCTACCTTCTTACTATTAATAAAAAATTTTATTAGTTATTATAATTGGGGTAAAGTCAATAGAAATAGGACAAATTTATCTAATAAATTTGTCCTATTTCTATTGACTCTACCCAAATTCTTAATTTAATTTAAGTATAATTCTTACTTTTGTCACTTAGGATATCTGTTTGAATTTCTTTTCTGAGTGCAAGGCATATTGTTATTAAAATTGTTTTATAAAAAAGATTTTTTTTTTAGTTAATAGATCAAAAATTTCTTTATGAAGATAATTAAATAATTAATTTAAAGTTTAAGTCACAAGAAAAGAAAATTTATGATTAGATAATTAAGATACACAAATAATCTTTTTAAGGAGTCAATTTTCAAAATTTGGTAATTATTTTGATGTAGACTACTGGTTAGGATATCACTCTGATAGCAGAGTAACCCAGGTTCAAAACTAGTTAAGGAGAGCCATCCTTTCTAGAGTACTGATCTTATATAAGATACATGATGGCCCTTCAAAAAAATGATATATCGAAATAATAATTTTTTTTTGTTTTGTTTATTAGTTATTATTATAAATTATTTATACAGTATATTTTAGTTAAAAAATTAAGTAAGTATTTATGCCTGGTATGCATAAAATAGGTCTGGGTAAATGTTATAGGCAAAGAGGGATTGTCAAATTAGTGCAGTAATCTTGTGACTAAACCAGATATAATATTGAAATTTGGGATCAATAATTATATGAAGCTTGCCTGCCAAAGAATAGAAAGAATAACTTATATGAAATCCAAAGAAGAATTCTAAAAAGAAGAAACTAAGATCAAGAAAGAAGATAGGCTAAAGAAAGAATTCGTTAGAAGAAAATTATTATTATAATTATAATAAGCTCTTTGATGTATAATAGCTTCATCCTGATTCTTTCATGATATATTATATAAATCTTCCTAAGCTCCTTGAGTTGTTAGGATAAAATAATCTATAAAAGAGTTGTGAATTCGTGTTAGTTAAAGGATATTCTTTGGGATTCCAATAATTTATTTATAATACTTTTAATAAATTATCTGGATAATTCCTTTTAATAAAACATATTATTGTCAAATCACCAACATCATGCCTCTGGCGAGTTGCTTTATTACATAAATTATATTGATTTGTATATATATTAATAAAACCTTATGATTCACTCCGTAATAGTAGTATGATTTTAGCCAATCCCAGGCTTGTATTTAATAGATTTCTGATTCAGTGATGTGTAATATATGAAATTTGCTAATCACAATAATTTGAAAAGCATGATAATTCGGTGGTTTACATTATATCCTTTATCTAAAAGAAGGAGGGTGTTTATAAAAAATTTTTTTTGAAAAAAACTTTTGTCCAAATAATCTATAACAATATAAAATGGTTAGAAAACCTATATATATATACTTGTTCAAATTTTTTTTTACTAAGGGAGTAAGAAAAGGCAGAAGAGGGGGAGATGTAATATAAACTACCAAATCAAGCTGGTCCGGCCTAATTAAAGAATGCTACCATTATTCTTTTTTTAAAAATTGTTTTATAAACTATATCATAGTATATATTAATAGTTAAAATATTTGTTTTGTAAATTCTCGAAATAATAGGCATCTGCGCACTATTCTGATTACATGCACATTATTCAAACATGCCCATGGGTATTATTTTGAGATAAAGTATTAATTCTAGAATCTGATTGTTACTAATGTTATAAACAGGTTGAATGAATAAGTATCAGGTAAATATCAGATACAAGACTTCTTCTGATATGCTACTAATATGCTATATTTAGCAGTATATAGTATCAGTTGCATATTGAGAGTTTTGTATTCTGATATTTACTCAATACTTGCTCTTCGAGGTGTGTATTATTTCAGGACACGCATGAGAGTTATTTCGAAACCACTTATGCTATTTTTAGAAGTGCAATTTTTGAAATAATGCTTCTGCCTGCTATTTTGAGAATCTATTTCAAACTTTAACATGTATTAATTTACATTAAGAACTTCGAAAGTTATCATCATTTTGGTTGTAAAATTTTTATTTGATGCAAATTTGCTTTAGATCATCAACCTGGCACATATTCAAGAATTGCGTACTTATAGAGATATGTTTTATTTTATTTTAAGAGTATATTTATTCCTCATCCCATTATAAGGTTTTAAAATTTTACTAATAATATCATCTTTGAAGCTCTAACAAAAAAAAAAATCCTTAACCTTATAATAGTTGGTTGGTGATTGCAAATCGATATGACAAATTATAGTTACGCTTATTTATAGCTTAATAAAAAGTTATACCACAAATTATTGTAACTAACTTTTAGTATCAAAAATTCATTGGGATGATTCTACTGTATCACTAGTTTCTCAAAGGGAGTGAATATCTAAATATAATATGAAGTTTTTGTTTTAAAAATAACTTTACAGAACATAGTAATTACTATATATCATAATGTTATTTTCAAGGCAAAGACTTCATATAAAGTATATATATATAATTTATTATTGCTCTCTAAAATGCAATACCCTAAATGCAATGTCTCAAAATGCAATCTTAAACCCTGGCTTATTTCAGTCCCCTATAAATGCAATTTTTCATATTGTAACTCATTGGGATAAAACTTTTGATAATATGTATTTAGGGAGATCTAACTGCATGATTAATTATAAGAAAATTTTTATATAAATGTTAACTTTATTGTATTCAATCTATATCATTTATCAAACTATACTGGTAATCATAAATAATGCAGCAAAAAAAAAAACCGTTAAATCAAATTATCTTATGCAATTCCGCGTGTATTCTTTTGCTTTTTTTTTTTTTTAACTTATAAATAGTATAGCATTTATGTAAAAAAATTTTAAAAAGTATTAATAAAATAAAATTTTTGTGAGCATAAGCTTTATTTAAAATCATGTGTTGCATTATTTTTGCTTATTTTAAACACAACATAAACCCAAAACAGAAATTTTTTTTTATATAAAAAAAAAAATTTTTTTTCTATTTAATTCCACTACACTTTTACTATCTAGTATAGCCACTCTAGGCTCTAATAATATCACAAACTCATTCTGGCATTGAACAAATCAGGTTTGTACAGGTCTTAATATCGATTTGCTCCCACACCACCTAAATTTTTTCTCAGAGGTCTTTTTACTCGAAATATTGCCAAGAAGCTTTCTCAAATAATGGTCAACTTTAGCCTACAGATGTTCGATTGGTTGAGATCGGGGGACAAAAGAGGCCAATCAAAGGTTTTTACTCTATTCTTTCTAAACCAACATTTGGCTAAGATTGCAGTATGGCAAGAGGCATCATCTTGCTAAAAAATTATATCCTGCATACTAAATCCATGATTTTTCATAGTTTCCAGAAGGTCATCAAGAAGTATCAGCTAGTACAACTCACTGTCCATCATACTATACTATCAATTTTATAGAACTTTCCAATGCCACGAGATAAAAAGCAACCTCAAATTATGATGGAGCCACCCTCATATTTTACTTTCAGTTATACATAAAAATGGTTCCTTAGAACACTTCTAATAATACTACTTCTCATCTGACTCAAAAATTTGAAACCATAATTCATCTGACCAAATTACCTTTGACCAGTCTTTGATGGACCAAGCTTTGTGTTTTTTGCAAAAATCGAGCCATGCTTTTTGATAACCAGCACTTAGAAAGGGCTTTTTTTGTTTAATCCCCAAAATCAAACCATGCTTCTAGAGTATACAACGAATAATAGAAGCTGAAACTTCTAGGTTTTCCTTTTTTTTTTAGGTAGGAAACCACCTGCATAGCAGTAGAACAGTGATGGAAGGTAATTAAATTTACAATCTTTCATTAAGTTGGTTTACCCAACTTTGGTAGGTGACCAACCTTTTCTAAATCTTCAGGCTTATAGTTTTCAAATCACTTTTTCTTAATATGAGAGATAGTGGAGGAGCTAATATGATGAGCCTGGCCTATGGCCCTTGTCATATATTCTTTTTGCAGTGAAAGCAATATTTGTACCCTTTGGGCAGGAGTAGTATGGTTCTTTTTTTTGCTGATTTGATTATTAATTAATTCTAATATTGCACAAGATGCAAAATCAGATAAAGAAAATTTATTTATAAAGATGTGTCACGTAGTACATATAAGCCATCAGATCTTCAGTAAAAACAAGCAAAAATAATGCATTATGTGTTTTGTAACACACGTGTGATTATTTTTGCATTGACAGTATGGTTGCAATTATACTAGTATAATAAAAAATAGTAGTATAATACCAAGTATAATATTGTATTATACTATATAGAGTGGTATAATAGTATAGATCTTGTAATCTTTAATCTATAGGATTATTATCATACTATAAAGCAGATAAACAACTTTCGTAGCTAGAAATATATTCTTGAATTATATTGTTAATTAAGAAACACTATTTATATTTATTTATTATATGTATTTAGATTATTTTATATAGTGAATTTTAATATTCGTTATAAATTAAAGATGGCTTTTATAGCAAATTTTTTAAAGACATATATAAGCAAGGTATTTGAGCAATGAATTGTATTAGAAATAAAATTCTAATATATTTTATTTTTTAATTTATATTTAATAAATCTAATATTTGCATTTAAAAAAATATATTTGTAAATAAAAAAAAAAATAAATAAGAATTCTTATTTTAAAAGAAAAAAAAAATTTTTTTTAAAAAAAAAAAAAAAAAAAACCAAATAAAGAATTCTTATTTTAATTCTAAAACCCTTTAACGCTTTAATTTCTTAAAAAATAATTTTAAAAAATAAATCTATTTTAAATAATCATATCAGTATTTAACTCAAAATTAAATGAATTATTTTCATCATTCTCAGATTCAACGTTATTACTATATTCAGATTCAATGTTATTACTATATTCAGCTTCATAGTTATTAATATTTAAAGTTATATTTATATTTTCATTCTCAATGCTATTCTTTGTTGCTTCTTTTTTTATATATTGCATTCTTAAATTACCATATATATAAACTAACTTTTTTACTTGTTCATTTTTTAACCAATTTCTAACTTTTGAATATATAAATCCAAAGTTTGAATAATTTTGTTCTGCAGATGCAGATGAAGTTGGAATAGATAAGACACAAATTGCAAATTTTTGAAGTTTAGAATAAGACCAAGAAGTTTACCAAGTTGCTGAATCAATATAAAGAGCTGAATTTCAAATAAGCTTATTATTAAATAGTGCTTGTTTGTTTCGAAATTTCAACAAATCTGCATATATTTTAGATGCTTCATTACTAGGATACTTAGCTGAAATAAAATTTGTGAATCTTGATAAACAAATATATTCTTTATTATCTTTTTTACTTTCTTAAAATAGTGTAGATCTAATATATATACAACAGTTATTATAGAATAATAAATATAGCTCCAACAAGTTTGAATATTTTATTGAATTTTAGCAGAATAGCTACAATCAATTTTTTGAATCTCTGTTAAAATCATATTGAATCAAGAATAAACTATTGAAATAGCAGAATTGTTAGCCTTAAATGCTTTTAATATAGCAATTATTGGTTTAAGAATCTTAATAATTATATTAAGATTAGTCCAAAATTCATTAAACTGCAATCATGCTTTAATTTGTGAATCTAAAGTTTCTATACTTTGATCAAAAAGTATTTGTTAAATTGCTGTTTTTGATTTTACAAGAGATTTCATACAATCTAAATGTGTGTCCTATCTTGTTAGTGCTGGAAGAACTAGTGCAATTTCTTTATTGTAATTTTCTTTTTGAATACGTCGTAATTTGGCTATAGCTATATTATGATTTTTAAAATATTTAACAACAGTTTTTGAATCTTCTATAATTAGTTTAATTTCATCTATTTGTAAAATATCACCTACTAAAAGATTAATTATATCCAAAGCAAATTATATGAAGATATTTTTCTTCAATTATTCTCTATACTGCTTTCATATTTGCTGCTATATCTGTAATAATTGAAGAGAATTTTTGAACTCCTATTTGTTTTATTTTTGTAATAATTTGAGCTGCAATCCACTCTGCTATATGACAGTCTTCACCAGAATAAATTGCATCATAAAAGAATGGTTTTGGTATACAAACAATAAAGTTTTAAACTGCTTCATATTTGATATTTGACTATCTGTTTGAAACCATTGTAATATTTTGTGCTTTGTTGATTTTATTTTCAATTTCTTTCTTTATATCTTCATAAACTTTGTTTAAAAGTTTTTCAGATAATTTTGCTCAACTAGGAATTTGGAATGATGGATGAAAAGCATTAAAAAATTCCAACTAAAATGGATTTTTAAATATATTAAAAGAAATACCAGAAGCAAAAACTGCTTTAGCAAATTTGTATTCCAAATCTAATATTTCATTATAATCTATTTTATCAACATAGTTGTCTATAATACCTTGTTTAGCTTTTAGTTCAAATAGATTAATTGTATTTAAGTGTTGAGAATTTGTTTTTTAATAGTTTTAGCTAAATCAAGTACATTTGAGCAAATATTAGTATGCTTTTGCATATGAGTTGCAAGTCCATGCTTATATTTTTTAGGGCAATATTTGCATTTTACAGGTGGATGAGGTTGATTTGTTTTTTTTTGAGTTTCTTGAGTTTGTAAAACTGTAGAAGAGAAAATAATTTCTTCTTCTGTATTATTTAAATTTTCATTAGAACTATCAGAATAGGATGGTTTATTTGAAGATGTTAAAATATTCTAATGGTTCCAAATTTTGCTTTTTTGTAGCATTTTTATTTAAGGTATAAATTTATTTAATAATATGTAAAAATTTAAACTTAAGATACAAATTTTTTTGCTTTTA